TTAAGAGAAGTGGATCCCAGGTGTGTATGAGTACTCTTGGACTCGGTGGGCCTGTGTCTAAAAGTGTCCGTCTACCTGTAGGTCTATGTGATGTATTAACACGACTATTGGTGGTGGGTCTGTATGTGTCAGTATGGATGCTGGTGACTGTGAGTGTCCAGTGCTAGTCTGGCTGTCTTCTTGAGGATTTCATTCTTCAGGCAGCCTTTCCTGCATCCATCAGTGTCTCCTTCTCTACACAATCATCTACTACGTCACTCCCCAAAGCACTCCTGTTCTAGGGTCTGTCACCTTACAAAACATAAACCTTCCCCCATTTATCTCCCTGAGTTCAAGTTTGTGAAAGATCAATACCCCCCTGCCTCCACTTCCTCCCCCTCATTCACTCTTCAGCCCACTTCACTCTGGCTTCCAGAGACTATTGAAATTCACTCAGCAAAGTCACCAATGGCCACAATGTCAAATCCGAAGGCCTTTTTCGTGGGGTTAGCAGCCCCTGACATGACTGACAACTTTCTTTTCTGAAACACTCTTCTCTGGCTCCCAACATCTGGTTTCTCTGACCTCTCTGGTTCCAACTCTGGCTCCTTCTCTATTTGATCTCTAAATGTTGCCCTTCCTTGGGGGCGCCTCCCTGATCTCCAGGCTTGTGTGTGCATTAGCCTGTCTGTCCTATGTCTCCACTGGACGAACAGGCATCTCAAATGTACGTCCAAAATGCAGTATATGACTCAGATTCTCACATCTCGACCTCCACACTTTCCCTCTGAGAACATGGCACCACCCTCCACCCAGCTGCTCAAGTGAGAAACTGGGGGGTCATATCTCTTTCCCTACACCCAATTCATCAGCAGACCCATCTTCGTCTGTCTTCTCTGCCATGACCCTAGTCCTCGGGACTACTGCAGTAACCTTCCAACCACTCTCGGTTTTGACCGTATACCCTCATACAAAGCCCAGCAATGACCCGGGCTTTGCCCACCTCCAACCTTATCTTAAACTATTCTCTTTCTGATTCCTTTTGAGCCAATCACACTAGCTTCCTGCTTGTACCTGCAATTACCACTTAGTCTTATGCTTCTGGGCAGCTGCACTCACTGTGCTCTTTGCCAGGAATGCTCTTTGGCCAGTTGCTTGCAGGTGTGTTCTCCAAGATGTTGAGTGTTTTGCAGAAGTGAAGGGAACAAAAGGTCTAGCGATCATCTCCAGGGTAAAGGTCCAAAGATGTGACCTCTTTTCCCAAGAAGGTTCACTGCCTCATACTACCCATATGGAAGACAGAAGGGAGGGACGGCAGGAAGCATGTATGCTCTGCTTTGACCAAAGTCCTGGGCCTGGAAAGAGACACTCAGCCACTAAAGTTGAGACCTTGGGAAGTTGAGGGGATTAAATGAGATAACACATACATCACTTAAACAATGCCCAACACATAGCAACAAGTCAATATAAGGCTGTAGGTATCTCTAAGGTGAGCAAGGAGGAAATTAGTTTATTACGGATGACTCAATGCTGGACAACTTTCCCTGTTAACCATGTAGTCTTAACCAAGTCCTATTTTAGAGATAAGAAAATTCTAGTCCAGAGTAACTTGACTAAGGTCACAGAGCGACCAAGAGGAACCCATGCAGGTCTGTCTGATCCACCCCTCCATTCCCAATGCTCCCCATGCCCTCTGCAGAAGGGCCCCCGGTTCTGAGTCCAGCGAGGGAAAGCAGGTCCTGCAGTCCGTTGGGCCCCAAGGCTCTGGTCCTCCAGTCTACGGTCAAGATGGTAGCAGTAGAGGCAGGAGTAAGTGTGGGGAATGTAAGTGGCATAAGAAGCTTCAGATGAGGTCTCAGCATTTGATTCTTCCCAGTAAGGTTTGTTTGTTACTCCACAGGGGAAAAAATTGTGTGTTAGCCTCTGACAAACTGGGTCTAGCCCTAAAGAACAGTAGATGATGATTAAGGGAAAAGCATATACAGACGGATTACGTGGCTTCTTTTTTGTAAAGCAAGTAGCTGTGAATTAAATGGAGAGTGTTTAGACTGGGTAAGCATCAGTTTTTGGAGTTTATATTCATTTAAAGAAAAGACTTTCCTGTTCTATTTTAAAGGCTCATGGGGCTCCAGGAAGAGTAAGAGTAGCTTTTGAATACCTGTCCCACTTTCAAACCTCATGATGTTTGGTGAGTGAGGCTGAGTGGCAGGCCTTTCTCCCGTCAAACACGTATTCCAAACACGCCAGAGCTAAGGGAGAGGCAGACGGTTCGAATCCCAAGAAGGCCCCCAATTCTGCTTCTACACAGCTGCTGCTTCGGGCCAAGGGCCATGCTGAGGAGACAGCGAAAGGACTCCGAGCTCCAGGCATTAGCCAGGATTCAGGCAGGGCAGGCTCAGCCACTGTTCCTGAGCTGGGAAGCCAAGCACTTCTCAAGCTATTTCAGTGCCCTCCTCCACTGTTCCTCATCACTTCCCCAATCTCTTCACCAGCTGGGGCTGAGCTTCCCTACCCTGAGGCAAACCAGCTGTTCTCTTCTCCAGCCTATCTCCTCTCACCTCAGGTCTGGAAAGGAATAGACTGTTTTCTGTGTATTAATCACCTAAAAGCAGATGGGAACCAATCAGAAGACCGTTCTGAGGAGCCCGGGCAGGAGTGTTAAAGAATCAGTGAATTCCCAGTGTTTTTCAAACTTCAGAAAATCAATTTAAGAGGGACACCGTTGACATTAAAAAAAGACAAAATCTGGGGGTGCCTGGGTGGCTCAGTCGATTGGGTGTCTGACTCTTGGTTTCAGTTCAGGTGGTGATGTCATGGGTTGTGAGATCAGGCCCCTGCATCACTGGACTCTGCACTCAGTGGAGAGTCTGTTTGAAAGATTCTCTCCTGGGGCGCCTGGGTGGCTCAGTGGGTTAAAGCCTCTGCCTTTGGCTCAGGTCATGATTCCAGGGTCCTGGGATCGAGCCCCGCATCGGGCTCTCTGCTCAGCAGGGAGCCTGCTTCCTCCTCTCTCTCTCTCTGCTTCTCTGCCTACTTGTGATCTCTGTCAAAATAAATAAATAAAATCTTTAAAAAAAAAAAAAAAAAGGAAAGATTCTCTCCCTCTGCCCTCCCTCGCTCTCTCTCTCTCATAGATAAGTCTTTAGAATAAATAAATAATCTAATAGACTACAGATTAGAAAACATCAGAGTATACCACACTATGACTCAATCACATACATATACATCATCTGTAAGAAAAGCTTCTTGAAGCAATGTTTACCCTTCGTCTAGTAGGTACAAACAGGTGTGGAGTAAAAACGCATGCTGAGTCCATAGAAATTCATTTGAATCAAGGGCTTTACGGGGTATAAAAGAGGGAAAGGAAATTGGGGAGCTAAGCATGGAGATTAATAAATGCCCAGCATGTCAAACTAAAGAACTGTAAGTTCCACTACTCTAAGTAGTGGAAAACCATCAGAAAGTTTTTGTTTTGTTAAAGATTTTATTTATTTATTTGACAGAGACAGCCAGAGAGGGAACACAAACAAGGACAGTGAGAGAGAGAGAAGCAGGCTCCCCGCCGAGCAGGGAGCCCAATGTGGGACTCGATCCCAGGACCCTGGGACCATGACTTGAACCAAAGGCAGACGCCCAATGACTGAGCCACCCAGGCGCCCCCATCATAAAGTTTTAAGTGAAAAGAGGTATGAATGATCAAACTTGTAGAGTACAGAGAAAGAACTAGAGAGGAAAGAGAGGAAAAGTAGAGAAGGTAGAAGGCTGTTAAAGTAGTCCAGGAAAGGGGCACCTGGGTGGCTCAGTTTTTAAGCATCTGCCTTTGGCTCAGGTCATGATCCCAGGATCCTGGGATTGAGCCCTGCATTGGGCTCCCTGCTCAGTGGGAAGCCTGC